ATGTTCAGGTCAGACGCTGCACTGCTGGTGATCTAAAAATCACAGACAAAATATGAGATTTTAGGTTGCCCTGAGGAACACAGACAAACGATTTGCAAAGACATGGCTGTAACAAAAAAAAACTTTATTGATAATTACCCAGAATGCCCCATAATGATGCAGTAAAAGCAAGTTTTCAGATATATTCCTTTCCACTTATTAAATATGTAAAACAATACTCATGTCTTTATTTTGAACTGTTGTAAAAGTACCACTGTTTAGGATTACAGTTTTGAGTTTTACAGAAACTTGCATTTATCAGCTTTGCCACACCTGCTACTTCTCTCAGCTACTCTCAGGCAGTATGTCACAGCTGAACTTTAAATTTCATATCTTTTCATATACATTAAGTTTTAAACTTGGTCTTTAGCTAAAACACCTTAGAACACTTCAGCTTTGTGTGGACCATGTGTATTCAAGTCTTTTGCAGCACGTAGAACTGAATTTCTACCTGAGTCTAAATTTTTCATACTGATGAAGCTGAAGCGTCCTGATGTCCTGCAATGGTCCTCTCTGTGAATCATCATTACATATTTAGAAGTTTTTTCCATGAAAATAATCCCTTTCAGCATTAAAATAGATGAGATGTAACTCTTCCATCATTGCTTGCCTTTGGATGTTTAGCTATATGAGGACCCTGTCTCTTTCTAACCTCCCTCTTCACTCCTTATTCACTGTAAAGCTACTCTATTCTACAGTTTAACCATATATGTTAGAACTGCAAGCCTTCTCTGAAGAAGAACAATGATATAGAAAGCCTGGATGTCCAAATCTATGTTTTTGACTGCTTACTTCACTCATAATGTGTCTTCCAGTGTATATTTAAATATGGGCATGTTAGTGAGGGAAAAACCTTGATTTTAATCAGTAAGGTCTTTAAGAAATAAATGCTTTGTTGTTAATTTACTTCTAAAAACTTTGCTTCATGTTACCTTTATGGATATTTGTGCACCGATAGTACCTTGTGCAAAGGTTGTGAAACACTGATATAATTAATGAATTACTTTTTTGTTACAGCCATTAGTCATTTAGTAGAATTATACACACCCTCTCTGTTGAAGCCTTTTTAACACTGAGGACTTTGACTCCTTTGGGCAAATGGAACTCGTGGTTTTCAAAGTCTGTGCTGAAGAATGTGGTCTGTGTGCGAGGGTCTGTGAAGGATATGCCAACATCACTGACAACTGAGGTCTTGTCCTTTTCTACACTCAGCTTAGTAGTGCCTTGCTGGAACACCACCTGTAACAACACACATAAAATAAAAGAGGAGAGCTATAAAAGCATGCACACTATGAGTCCTTTTTTTTTAATATACTCTGTAATGTTCTCTGTGTTTCTCACCGGGTTGTTGTTGCCAACAATGACAAGGTCCTGGTCTTTACGGCCTCCTACTGTGCTCTTATGCAGTGGATGAACGATGCCCATGTCTGCTTTCTGCTTGAATCGTAGCAGGCCAGACTCATGAAACTCCATACTGTCGCACCCATTCGGACCGATACGGATCACCGTCCATATTACTAGTGTGATCTGAGGGACAGTAGAGTTGGGCCGATTTGAAAAGACCACAATTCACAACTAAAGCAAATCACATAGTGCATTTTTTAACCATCATTTTCAGAAAAATGACAAACAAATGAGTATACTTAAGTATGTCGTACTCACAATGAGGTTAATTAAGGCGAGGAGGAAGAGGAGGACGATGATGCAGACAGCCATGTTTCCCTTGCGTCCTCTTAGGCCCGTCTTATGAAGACGCTCTTCTTCTATGGGTACATAGCCTGCTTTGAAGTTACTGTTGTGTTCCTTGTTGATAGTGCGTCTCTCTATGGCCTTCTCCCGCATGGACTTCTTTACTGGACCATTGGAGCTCTCCTAGAGGGCAAAACAATCTGTGAGGCATAACACTGACATCTATATTTTTAGCAGCAAGTGGTAGGGCTGAACAATTAAACAATTTTAAGTCAAAGTTGCAGTTTGAAACAAAGCAATTGAAAAATCGCAAAGGCTGCAATTCAGCATATAGGTTATGCAGCATGTCTGAGTGTCATGTCGGTTGTTTTGCAAATTTATGCCGTCCTCTTTGTGTATTAGTCACACTTTGATGGTTTTTCACAGGGTAATGCTTTATCACATTTTAAATCTGTTACACAGTGAAGACTGAACTGAAGCTTGACTTAAATATATATCCATTGTAAATCAAATCACAAAATCTGTCAGGAAAATCTTTATTAAATATTTTTTCTAAATTGTTCTGCCCTCGTAAAGGGCCATATATCATAAAGAATTGGTAATCGCTTATAGTTGCACATCAGAATGAACTCTTTCTTAACACAAACAGCACTGAACTTTATTTCTCTATAATCCACTCTACATAGACAGACTGACCTACTCATATTTAAATCTAGCAACCTGGGAATGGCACATCAACTCACTGTTTTCATGCATTCTTACCCAGTCTCGAGTGACTGACATGCTCCATTTAGTGTTCATTAGGGCTGAGCAATTAAGTGATATTAACTCACAATTTGAACAACGCAAGCAACTAAAACATACTTTTACAGTGCATCTGAAAGAGGGTTTATTTGTTTTTATTATGACTTTATTTAACCTAATTGCAGAATTTGAAACACTTTGATGGTTTCACATTGAATCTGTTTTTAGTACATACTTCAAACACTGTAAATTCACACAGTCACAGCTTTGTGATGCTAGTTGTATGGCAGGTAAAATAACTACAATAAATACACGTAGGAAGCAGTTCATTTGTTTAAGTTCTGATCTTGCATTGGATTACAGAGGAGCTAATATTGTGATGTGTCTGATGTGATGAAGCTCCATCAAATGTTCTTTTACAGTGAATAATGAAGCTTGACTTTAAATTATATCGCAAAACAAATCTGTCAGAAAAATAGCATATATTAGATATTTTCCCCAAGCGGCCCTAGTGTCCACAGCCTCGGTAAAGTTTTAGTTAGTGATTTCCACTGAGCCCTGCATCGGAATGCATCTGTTAAATACCCCGCGACAGCCCGTCTGTGGCCGTAACTAAAAATAAACTGCAGTCATTTTAGCAGCAAAATGGAAATTCGCTCCGTTGTGTCGCTATTGTACATTTTCTATTCTCTTTATATGACCAAACAGGTTGTTAAAACAGCATGCGTGTTCAAATAACACCGTTTTTATCTCCATTTATTAGCAAAACGGAGGCCACCAACGTCATTTATTGCACTGATATGAGCACAGGAGGAACAACAAAGCCCAGTACGCTTATATTTTAACTCGCTTGCGCACATTTTATGTTTGTCGGAAATATGTATTCATGTTTTCTTTACAAAGAAATGTCCAAAAAACGGAATAAAATGCAAGAATAACAACAAATACAGAAGATAACGGACCTGTTCGGACGCCATGTTGACCCTCCCTCTTCTGCTCGCAGTGACAGGGAACGTACCACTGTTTTTACAGCTGAAGGGGGGAAATGGTTGTGTTTTAAATATGGACTGTGTACAAACGGTAATTTTGAACTTTTTACTGAATTACATTCAATTATGAATGAAAAAAGCTACGTTTAGACAAACAAGAACAATTATTTCTACTTTGTGTGTACAGAAAAAGGCGACGTTACGATGATAACAATAAATGGTCCATTCCAAGCTTAACCAGCCAATGACAGAATGATCCTAAAATAGGAAAAACATGTCCATTCATACTTTCCACATGTAAACTGCCAAACCAGCCATAACATAACACTCATTGTTTATTCCACAAGCTCTCCTTCTTAATGAATGGTTGCTTTAACTGTAAAATCCAAACATTAAATGGGAAAAAGACACAAACAGGGTGGTTTCACGGTTGGCTTAAAGTGTAGTCTGAGCAGCTGCCTAATTTAATAACAAAAATAAGAAATAGAAGAATGTATTAAAGGTCATGATGAAACTTCGGATATATTAAATGTAGGCCAACTGTCAAATCATAATGTTATGACATCGATTCCAAAGTCAAGGAAAGTGTCAACCAGGAGATTTTAGAGGATTTCATGCTTCTATCTGCTGACAAGCTTTAAACAGATGATTTCCTGGTTTGTTGACCATGACATTACTGTGCTGGATTGGCTAACTAACTTATTTGACCTGAACCCCTAAACCCCATCGTGATCCAAACAAGACTTAAGGAATTGAGAACATAAATATATACACTTTTCCCAAGCTCGACATCTCTGTAGTATAATGTTGTTTATTATTATTATTTTAAATTTCATCTTAGAAAATATTTGAATAATGGAGATACTGGAGTTGTGATTCTCATGAGCTATTTGGTATAATCATTACATTTATAAATAATATATAATATTTGAAACGTTTAACTTCGTAATGAACATGTAAGAAAATGTACTTTTTAAAAATTAAATTACTGAAAAAAAATGAACATTTCCACAATGTTGTAACTTTTTCAGATGCACTACCATATAAATCCCACATTCATCTTAATAGACTCTCCTGCTTGTTGCCCTTGCTGTGGTTTTTAATGTTGAAACGATCTGAATAAGTCCCCTCCACATTTAATTCAATTTAACATGTCACGGTGTATTAGAGGCTTATCGGATTCGATCCAGGGCTGCCACTTAAGCAGAAACACCAGCGCCTGTGTTTCTGACCCACCGAGGTCACTCTGCAGGCGTTTGGTTTCGTTTGACAGTGTGACATTACAATCCTATTTACATTACAGGAGAGCAGAACCTGCGGAGCACTGAGGAGAGAGTCCCTGTCCGTCTTTCCTTATCCTGCTCTGTGTGCTTGAGCTGGCGACTCGTCTCTTCACTTGGTTGTCACAACTGAGGCGGGCGGTGCTTGGCTTCTGCGTCGTAGGTGGACAAAGCTGCCAGGTCAGGAATTTTTACTGCGCTCCTCTTCACGGCTGCTGCAGCAGCTGAAACCTCCGAGGATTAGTTATTGTGGACGGACATGGCGGACACTTTAAGGAGATTGACCAATACATCTTCCTTCAGCGTCTTACAGGACAAGCTGGAGAGCTGGCACAAAGACTACCATGTAAGTTCATCAATAAGTCATGATCGACCTAAATCTGACCACAGCACTACATCAGCGCCCTCAGCACACCTCAATATAAGCTTATCATCTCCCAAATTAACGTCTGGAAATTGCATTTGCATGTATTTGAGAGTTTTATTCAAAGGGCTGCAGATAATATCACCCCCTTCCTCCTCTATGAATGATAAACTGCTTTGTTTACTCATGTGGATTGTTCATTTTTCACTATATCTTATGAAAATTTGATTTTTATACGCTGTATCATTTTGATTATAAATAAAACGGTTGAAGTGTGCTTTATTTCCAAGATGCATGAAGTAATTTAAAACCTCACAGCAAAGGAATGCACTTATTTAGATTACATTGATTTCCCGGTAGAGTTTGGTTGCTATGGACGCCAGTCGCCATGACAACGGTCGGACTTTTCCAAAGATGTTTTGCTTGAGATGGTTCACGTCCTGTTACTTCCTGTAGGTGGATCCGCGGAACTGTGGTCTGCACAGGTGTTGACCCTAAAAAACTGACAAAAACTGAGTGCCATCCATGGGAGCGATTACTCGTAATTTGTCTGCGTTATTTTACCAGTTCTGCACGCTCGATTCTAAACAATCCAGTCGTTTTTACCGCTTGAAATAGCTTTAAAGGATCGATTTAACACATAAGGCGCAGATTTCTAAGTAGCAAAAAGTGAGTGCAGCCCCTACAGTGTGACTGAAACATTAATAATGCATCAAAAGGGTTTGATTTTATTCACGATGGTTGTGTTTAAAATATAAGATAACTGCAAATAAAATAAAATAAAATAATCTTATTTTACATGTAAAACCGATTATGTTAATTGCAATTTAAACTGCAAATATTTTTTGGTCACAATTATTTAGTTACAAGAAATATAAAGTTTCACAAAGACACACTTTTGTTATCACTACACAAAGTTTTGTGTATTTGCACGTCATGACTGACCCTGATAAAAGCAGCTGTAGATTTATATAAACTGGACAATGCAGCTTTATGGTGAAGGACACAGTTTTGCTAAGTCACTTGTTCTTATAACTTGTCTACATTTAAAACAGGACTTTCATACTATAATTTCACCCAGCAGTTAAGCATTGTATAGGAAAAGAAACTGGGCAAACAAAGATAGTTACAGTTTGATATGCCAAATGATGACAAATATAGTTTTTTATAATATTTTTTTTGTAGAGTTGCATTTACTGTTCAAACAACTGGATCAATATAGCACCTCTATAAAATACCTTAAAAACAAAAATGCAACTAAAACTAATTATGTTTTCCAAGAAAAGTCTTTTGGACTGATGATATTTTATTCTGACTTTTACGTCTTTCTTTCTTTATGTGACTTTGTAGCCCCAACACATGCATCTTTGGATATTTACATACATTCTTTCAAATAAAAAATAAATGAATAAATAAAACTAAACTCACCCTAGCAATCATTTTATGGCTTTAACATTTGATGTCTCGTGTAAGAAAGCTGGACTAGAAGCCGGACACCTGTTGCATCTCTTTTATAGCTTTTCACTCCCTCAGTTGTCTGTCAAAATGGCTTCAATTAGGTACAAAAAAAAAAAAAAGCTTTTAAAAATCTCAGTGACAATCATAAATAGGCAATCACTGTAACAACACAGACAAAAGTCTGCAGCACCACAATGCTTTATTTATAATGGCATGATGTGGCACTTTTTTTTTTTACCTTTAACAATAATAGCTTCTCTGATTCGGATATTCCTCTTGGTCAGTTTTGATGATATTTCAGTTAATTGGTCAGTAATACTTGTAGCATAAGAAGTACATTAATCTTTTTGCAAAAGTGTGTTTAGCCGTTTCTTTGGTCATATTTACCCTTGTAGGTGATTTCCTGTGACCAGAATCTGAACAAATGTTGTGAGCTGATTGAACTCACGGCCAAGATCCAAGGCCAACTGTTTGCCATCCTTAACCTCACAGCGGCTGAAGGTAAGTTTGGACTTTGCAGTACAGTACAACTAAAGAGCAAAGAACATAAAGTCTGACAAAAATTGGATTTTTTTGGGCTGATGTCCATCCAAATCTTAGAAAGAGATATTTGTTAGAAAGGGGGAAATGACAGGGGCCTTGTTTATTTGTTAATTACCAAGTGGTTAGCAACTTACAGTGAAGACACTTCTTGCTCCGCACCATCGTCTGCTCAGCTGGGATGCATGTTCTGCTACATGTACTGCAGAGAGTGCTGAGACTACTAAAAACATTAGCGTCAGAACTGCTTGGCTGGTCCCTAAGCATCTTTTGCTGCATTATGTTCTGTAAAAAAAAAAAGTTTTTATATTGGCGTGTATCAGACAACATTGATACTGATGTATCTGATAGGCCATGACCAACCAGTAAATTGTACAACTGATGTGTAAGTCTGGCCATAGTTTAACATATTTTCATATATATGTCTTTTGTCATGAATCAGGGGGACACTATGCTGGAGTGGACACTCTGAAAACACGACTGCTGCCATGGCTTGGAACCTGCTTCTCAATGGCAAGGCCCTCAGTCACCGATGACACCAGTCTGCAGCTCATCCAGGTATCAACATTAATTTCATTCAACACTACACAAAAACATGAAATACATCAGGGGGTGCAACCAGTTCAACTTGAATTGAAATTCTATGACTGTTATCTGCGGGTGTCTTTGCATCACATTTGTACTGTATCATCATCTGTTACTGCCAGGATTCAGCGGAAAAAGACAGAAGGATCAGGGAACTCTCAGTCTCCCATGACAGCGACATGCAGAAGATCGAGACTCAGCTGTGCTCGACTCGAATACAACTGGACTCAGTCAGAGCAGAGTGAGTGTGACACATGAAAGCAGTCAGAGTCCTTACTGAGACGCTCATTTGAAGTTTGTTCCTTTATGTTCCTTTATACTGATTCATTTTAACAGACTGATTGATGCTAAAAACGAACTGGATGAGACAAAGACCAAATCAGCAACAACCCTGCTGGCCACCGAAGATGAAATATTACAACTTAAAGCAGAGTGGGTAACATAATCAAATACTGCAGTGCTATATTTACTGTAAATGCCATATATGTGCTTTTCTGTTGATGTGAAGTGTGTGTGTGTGTGTGTGTTTCAGTTTGAGATCTTCACATGAGCAGGTGGAGATTTACAAGAGGAAGCTGGATGCTCTCGATGACTACGAGCGTCAGATTCGCTTGTTGAGAGATGAAGTGTCTTACCTGAGCACAGAGAAGGCCATGCTGCAGGAGAGGTGCCATCATTGAGCCAACACACAAACCCTGTATACTCACACCCTACAGAGTCTTCAATAATTCACGTGGGTTTATGTGTATTTTTCCTCCTCAGGTTGGTGAGAAGTCGCTCTCCCAGCCCCCTGCCCAGACTCAGCCGCTCATCCAGCCCAGTGAGGAGCGAGTCGCCCACCAGGGCTCAGCTCACCAACTCGTCCCGCCACGCTCGCCTGGTGTCGCGCTTCAGTGACCTGTACGCTGTGGAGCGTCTGGAGGCCCAGAGCCTGCTTCGGCGCTACATTGCTGACTTGGAGATGGTTCAGAAAATCATCTTCATCGCTGTTGTGGTATGACTGTGATCACTTTAGAGTAGCCTGTAAATATGAGCAGAGCAGAAGATAGTAAGAGATAAATCTGTTTATTTGGGGGCAAAAAAATAATGTGTGTATCAAAGTTAAATATTTAGATTTTTTTTCTCCATGAAATAAACCTCTTCCTGCCTTACGATGGCCTAGATGTATCTCTACATATTGTGTCCTAGAATGTACAAATTTATAAAGCTCCTGCCTCTATATATCCCCACTGACTGCTTATTTCCCTCACGATAGGTCTCCTAGCATATAAAAAAACCCACATATGTACATGTTAAAAAGGTTAAAACAAACAAAAAAAAAGGTTTAAATGTGTGTTTTGTCTTTCTGTTTTCATGTCTTAGGAGTCCTTTAAGACAGCTAAACTGGCTTACCGCCACTTCAAGCTGCGAGTGAGAAAGACACTGTCCACATCCCACTTTGGGCCAGAAAGCCTCGAGGATGCAGCTGTGGACTACATTGTCAGAAATCTGGACCTCTATGATGTTCAGGCCAGCGTCAATGTAGGATGAAATACTCTCTGTTGTGTCCTGTGCTAAATTTATAAACTAATTTCTGTAGTTTGACACTTGGTGCTGAAAGCAACAGTGGATCTGAGTGTATTTTATCTGCCCCAGGATGTGATCAATGCCATGAATGTGGACCCTCGCATCTCCTTCCCACCAGAAGTGGACTTTGCGCTAATCAGCGCCTTGATCAGGGAGGTGTGCAGGGCGGCCTTCGCCATGCAGACTCTGGACATGCCGCTTGACTTGGCCTTCGCAAGTGATGGGGAACTACACAATGACAGCAAGTCAGTCCTGTGTGCAGTGCTGTGTGAAAATCCTGTCGGTGTCATTTGTTTGCAAAACTTTTAAGTTCATTTGTTCAATTTTGAAGCATATGTAGTATGACAAAGTTAAAAGTCACTCTCTGGTTGTTTATTTAATTTCTAAAAATGCAATTTTTTGTGTCAAACTGATGTGTTTAGAAATCCTTTTTTTTTTTTTTTTACTTAAAAAAAAGACAGACACTTTTGCCTAAAAATCATTTAAAAGTTACTCTACAGTTTTGCTTCCTCTCCATTTCTGCCACCCTAATCTCACCGGTCACCCTAAGCTCACCAGTCACCCACAACTCTGTTCAAACACTGTAAAACTACATTTTATGTATGAAACCCCGGAAGTGTGAATCCGTGTTTTTGACTCATTGGTACACTGCAGTTTCATGGTGCAAATTCTCAGCTGTGCACTAACTGCTTGTTTTACTCATAATGTGTCCACTAGCATATAAAAACACCATATGTACATGCTTACAAGGTAAAAAAAAAAAAAACTAATTTGGACCAGGGTGGGTGAACTTTAAAGTAACATACACATTGTAAAACACCCCTCTATGAACTGCATCCTCTCACTTTACCAGTAGATGTCACCCTCAGCACTCAGATGAAGCATTCACACTCACACCATTCATACAGTCTTCTTTTCTCTCCCTGTCTCTGTCAGGTACAGACGTAGCTATGACTCTGAGTTCACAGCTCCTCTGGTGATGTACCATGTGTGGCCGGCCTTGATGGAAGGAAACACTGTGATAGTGAAGGGCGAGGCGGTGACTAGAAGAGGCGCTCCGGTACTGACTTTATAGCATTTGAAAATAACATGGGAATTAATTCAGACATTGCTCTACAAAAGAACAGCTGAGGCCCAAATTATTATTAAAATAATAGCAATAATAAGAATAAAGCCATGTGCAGAATAATTCATACCTTTACTTAATAATCACCATGTTTGGGGGATGAAGATGGTGTTCTGGGGATTGAATGCTTCTTTAAACACAAGCCATTTCTCTGTGTCCAAACAACTCCATTTTAATCTCATCTGACCACAGTACTGATGACAAAAAAGCTTTTGTTTTGTCCAATTGAGCTTTTGCAAATGCTAGATGAACTTTTGTGCTACTGTTTTGGGGAAACGGAGTCCCCTTCTGTCTGTGTCCACCAAAACCAGCCTTGTTCAAAGTCTGCTGGAGCGTCGAATTCCAGATGTTGGTACCAGAATCGTTGTGATTCATCAGGATGGTCTTAGTGGTGTCCTTGAATTCTTCACTTTTGGCTTCCTACCACACCCTTTAAGATTTTTGACAGTGTTCAAGTGCTTGTACTTGTATAATCCTGCTTTGCACTGTGGCCACCAGCACTTGAAAACACTTTGGACATGGCGTTGTAGCTTTACTCTGTCTTGTGAGCAGCTACAATGCACAACTCCCCCAAAGCGATGGACCACAATAACAAGCTCAATAGATTCTTTAGCTTGACTTGTAACTGAATAGTAACTGACTAGAGAACTACTGCATTTGCTGTTCTCAGTTTATAGTATATTTGGAAAATAGTAGAAATTACTAGGACTATTTGGAATGGCACAGAAGCTGCATTCTGGTGACAGTTTAAAGTGATATGAATAGTTTTGTGCATGGCATATTTAGAAATTAAAAAAAACCCCACAGAAATAGTTCAAATTCATTGTCAGCATCTCTGACCCAATGCCTTGCCATCTTTTGCCCCTTGTTTATGTCATCTCCAGCCAGAGGAGACCTATCGATCAAATAAAAATTCACCATAAATCAACATTTGGCATGTGTATAAATATTTTAGGGCTTGACTGTATGTAAGAGCATGCAAATAGACGATAAAGTTTATGTGTGTGTGTTTGTCTGCTTCTGCAGTGGCGCAGAAGCCGAAGCCGAAGCAGGAGTGCCAGCCCTGTGCGTTCTCGCTCTCTCAGCCCGACTCGCAGTCTTGTAAGTCTCTATAAAATTTGAAAGTTCAATCGACCACATGAAGCAAAGGCAAAACCATTTGGGGTTTTCAGTCAAGAAAGCGACTGCATTTTTTAGCTGGATGTAGCATTGCTCAGCTCCTAATGAAATTCAGATTGATTTCACTCTTTCCACTTAACAACTTGCATGCACATCCCTGGCCCTAAGGGTATGTATTTCATTATCTGTGCTTTCTTTATTTGGATTCGTTTACGCTTTAATTTATTGCAACCATAATCAACATCACTCTGTTTTTTAGGCATTTAACAGCAAAAGAGGCCTGTCTCCTGATCGTCTCAGGGCGAGCTGCCTGTGAACTCTGACTGCACTGGCAACAGGACAACAGTCTCCACCTGTACTTGATGGCTGTGAAATAAACTGAGGTATTTTCAAAATCAGATTTCAACCCCATGGTTACTCTTATGCTTGAATTACTTAATTATCTTACCAACCAAAGGCTGTTCAGAGTTTACAGTGTTGGAGGGCAGTTCTGAAGGACAAACAGAACACCATAAACAGAACTGAAGTAGCCTGGCAGCTAACTGGACAGCTGTTGTAGTTCACTATATTTATTCTGTTACTCAGTTTTTGGTAGATACTAACAGTATTTTAGTGATATTCAGAAATTTAAAGTGCATTTTTAGGTGAAGCGTAGCCCTGCACACTAGCACTTTTTGTAGTCCGATAAAATTAGGAACCATATTCCACATATCCCATATGTGACTGCAGGCTGTGTGCTGTAGGACAAACAATATGGTGCTACTGATGCTTCATATCCTCCAGTACTTGAGTGACTGATACTGGTCAGTGGTTTTAGTGTTAGTGGTTGCTGTGGTTTTTTTGATTTTTTTTTTTTTTTACATTTCTTCATATTATTTGCATTTTTGGTGCTGTTGTTTTATACATGTGATATCAGAACAGTTTGCTTGGAACATGAACACAAAATGCAATTTTTCCAAATAATAGATTAAACAGGACCAGCATATAGTTCATTTTGCAGAAATGTCCAGATATGACATATTTATTTATCCTCATTTACAATCCACGTACTGTATATCACCACTGACTTTGTATCCAACACTAATTTTCCCTTTAATGGCTTGAAAGAGGAATAGAATGAACACATGCTGATTTCACTGTGATGTAATTTGTGCTGTGATGAATATATTCTCCAATTGTGCCTTTTATGACTGATTTTTTAAAAGAATAAATGACAGATTTGTAGTTCCTGCAACTCCAAGTTGTCTGTTTCTTGTCGTACACATTTTTTTTCTGTACACTTACCGTCAACGTAGCAATAGTTTTAAACATTCTTCAGAAATGCGGCTGTCCTCCGCTGCCTTCCTAAAAAACAAGCAATAAGTGTGTGTCAGTCAGTTTTCCATAGCATGGTAATACCATTAAACCAATTAGAAGTTAATGCATGTAGGAAGTTTACTAAATCCTCATCTGACTTATGAATGCTGTCTTGTGTCAGACTTTCAAAGGACCGATTCTGTGATTTTTCTGCAATACTCAATAATTTCCTTCCAATTTATGTTTCCTGACATTACAGTTTCACTACTGTCCAATAGAGGACGCTGCTGCTCCATCATAAAAAAAAAGCGAAACAGAGCGGTGGAAACACTGCAGTGCAACATTTGAGCCACCACACAACATGTTATCTCATATGAAGCATCATAGATATCACACCTTTCTAGAACACATAAAAAAAAGTTAAAAACATTGCTTATAATAATATGCACTTATCTGTATCTTTTTAAGTGTGTAAAGGTACAAATGTAAACTTTAACCTAATAAGGCTTTTTTTGTTTAAAATGGTGTAAATAGTGTATACAGCAGGTGATTTGAAGGGACGCAATCATTGTTTGAAAAATGACCGAAGTGCATCCCTTCCTAATGATCTGCCATCCTATCTGTGTGTTGGTTGCTGGGATCAGAATGGAGCTTCTATTGTTACCTGCTAAAAAATACCAAATCACCGCTGAGTATAGTAAAATAATTATACTGTGCAGCAAGTGCAATATTATCTTTACATTTGAATGAATTTCTTCAGGAAATCCCTGCAGCTTCATCCCAGCTGTGACTGTTTTAGTGTTCCTGCCATCTAATTAGGTCTCTCTGGCTGCTTTTGCCCGCACCAGACCGCCCCACCAGGCAAACCAATTACCCTGTCAGCTCCTCAAACCATATCTAATGTCTGAAATCAGGCATTCGCTCTGCTGAGCTGACACTGAGCAGGCTTCCATAAACTTTAAGTCCTCTTAAAGATTAAGACTAACAGGATCACTCACTGACTACTATGAGGCATATTAGTGTTTAGCAGTTTGTCTGTTTGTTAAAATGCACTATCGAGAGGTTTTTCGATGAAAGAAAAGTGCATTTGTTGTTTTGATCAGATGCAAATCATATTCATCCACTGGTGATCACACTCAGCTGTTTCCGGGGTGACTGTGGTATTTGTCGGAGCTGATACTGATTAAAGATTACATGGTGGCTTTGCAGTAATTAGCATCCCACATCAGAGGATGCTGTCAAGAACAAAATATCCTGTATGCTGAGCATAAAAACATCTTGTGATTTTTCCCACCGAAAGAGCAAAACTATGTGTCATGATTCCAGTGTCATTCTAGTGTAAACAGAATTCTTAAACAAGCTTATGTACAGTTTCTCTAGAGGCGGACGTCCGAATTCATGCATGTCCTCATTAAAAATATAAAATACGCTCTGTTAACCCTTGAATTAGTTGTGCTGAAAGACTTGGATTGGGGAAAAAAGAGACCCCATGTCATGGAAACTTCCACCGTGCCTCCTCATTGCATTCCCACACAATGAGTGTCTTGTCAGATCTGCAACGGTTCACAGAGGTCCTGACTCTGGGGACACAGGCCAGGTTCTGCTGCCATGATACAACTGGGGGAAGCCCGTCTCAGCTCAGTTGTCCTTCTGTGAGCCTGGAGGTGGGTGGTAGTTGTTTACTCAGGTGCACCATGGTACAGAGCGTGTGTGGACGGATGAACATGAGATAGAAGACTGGCTGCTGTCATGGGCCTTGCACCTCATTTGACAGATTTCACAGTGAATCTAGATGTCGTCATCTGGTAGCAAAAATGATTAAATGTCTGCTTCCTATGTGACTACAGTTGCAAGATTTCAACAGGTGCTAGAGGTGAGACCTTCATTCAGGGCTCAAATACAAGCTGGAGCTCACCCTGACACCGACTGAGAGCTGCAAATCCAGCTTAAGTTTCCAATTTAGTGGTGGAGGCCTGACTCAGTGCTGCTGGACCGTGTGATGTTTCCTCTGGCTCTTCTTAATGTGCTCCATACTGGCAAGAGCTGAGTTTCTGGAGCTTGAGCACGATGAGTACCCACCCCTGATCCCACAGCCAGACCAGAAGGGGAATATTAATGTGGGGTCGTATATCACAGCACATGATGACACGGTTATGGGTGACCAGACTTCAGCGTGTAAATCAAAAACGATGCTGAAATAGACAGCGGGTAGAAGGAATGAAGGAAATCAAAGCAGCGACTACTAAATGTGAACCATCTTTCCTATGATGGAGTCACCCTTCGACGGTGGAGTCAATGAGCCACTGCAGGTCGACATGGACTCCGTGTTTCCAAGAGAGGCAGTGCTGTCTGTGGCCCAGAGAGGTCATTAAACACATCTGGGACGAAGCAGGATGCAGGTTTTTGCATAGGAGGACTTCACAATTTATGACAGGAGGGACAAAGACAGAGCACTCGTGTCTGTGGCTCGGTGCGATGTTGTGTGTGAGTAATTGTGAGTGGATAACCAAACCACACCCTCCCTTATTTCCCCGCTGCAACACCCAAGGGCGATTTCCTTGGCATAAAGCACTGTGTGAGGTCATAGCGATGGGCTTTGCTGCAGGCATCGGCCCGATTGGATGCTGAGGAGCAAACAGGCGTGACTGCTGATCTTCTTCTCAGCTCCAGTGAAATCATACATCAAGCAGCCAAATCCGCTGCCAGAGATACCACGGATAACGGCTTCCTTCCTTTCTCTATGACGACTATCATATCAAATAAAGAAAAACAGCCTCAAATTTGGACTCTCTTTTTCCCAGTGCAGACATTTGTCCAGAGAGTTTCCTCTTCCCGCTCTGTCATCCTTTGCACATCTGGGCCATCACGAGCAAATGAGAATATTTGGGAAGTTTAATGATTTTCTTTTAAAAATAGTTTCTTTGTTGATGACTTTCTAATTTCCTGGCATCAGGGGGGAGATTGAGATGTCTCTGTAATAAACGAAGAAAAAAAGCACCCACCTCAATTCAAACGGTAACATTTTCCTCATGAAAACAGCAGGACTGCTTTATATATACCCTGCCTTTCATGATTTTAAGAGCATGGCGACACAAAAGCAGGGCTGAGGTGGTCTGGTTCATGAGTTTCCACAGAGCACTTTTTAACACGTCATTAAAGCCTCCGAGGCCGCCGCGACCTTTTCTCTTTCTAAAAGATCAACTAGATGTCAGCAGCTTGGCAAAGACAAATTTATTTACAATTCAGATGAAAAAATGTCCCAGCTGTTAAGTTAAGATGTCTGTCTGCGCTGTGATTAGGTGTCCTCCTTTGTTGGGAGGTGCACTGCGGTGAACTTAACCTGCTCGCTGTCCTCAGAAACGAGCCCTTCTCCTGGATGCTGGAATGCTCTGAATAAAAATACACATCTGGATGCTGTGATTAATGTGAATAACAGTCATCCATTTACATTACAGAGTAGCACTGGCAGGGCAGAGGGCTGTGGATGCAGGTGTGAGTTTGGAAGGTTACTGCTCCACCGGGGCTTGTTACACTTAGATTTGATACTCTCACGGAAACATGCGATCAAACCTGGCGCCAATCTCTGAATGGCCCCTGTGCTGTGCACCCCCACCCTGAACAGGGAGGGAGAAGGAGGAAAGGAACATTAGTGAGAGGGAGAAAAGAAAGAAAAGAAAGATCTAGTGAGTCTGAGACCTGCAATAACATATATGGAAACTTTCTAGCGGCCTGTGGTTTGACCTCCAGGAGTCTTCACGGCTTCACTTGTTCTGACTGAACATGTCTCTGGATGTGTCTGTCTCGGACTTTCATCGGTATGTTCCTCTCATGTACAGATGTGAGGCTGTGAAACTGTCACCATCGCAAAGCAGACAGAAATGAAAACTTTGTTTGGCAGTGAGAGAAAAAAAGCTGACAGATCAATTACAACACTAAAAGAAGTTGTCAATAGGTTGATAATCTGTTGAGTGGATAAGTTTATTTGTTTGTGTTTGATTATGGATGATTGACTATAAAAAAGTGATTGGTTTGAAACGTTT